TTGTCTTTCTTATCGACAAGTGTTAGGTCTGGTGTGTTATGTGGCAGGCGCTTTCTGTTTGAATTCTAAAGTCCCAAAGTACTTTAGCTTCTTCAATTCCTATTACCGTCTCTATTTTATGGTCCCACCAGTTTTTGCCTGCAGGCAAATGGTATTTCTTGCAGATCTTCCCATGCATCATTGTTGCTACTTTGTCATGCTGTCAGTCTGTGCAATTTTCTTGCAGCTGCTAACCAGCTGGTTGGTTTCTTCAGCTTCTTTGCAGAGGTGGCACCTACTGCCTGTTGCTATCTTCTCAATTCTGGCTTTGTATGAATTTGTTCTTGATCTAGTGCAGCCACAATTAGCCCCCGTGTCTCTTTCTTTAACTTTCCTTTGCCAGGTCTTCTTGTTATCTGCTTTGCCTGCTAGTTTGTGTGTGTGTGTGTGTGTATTGGCCATGTAATACTTTGCCTTGCTATGTGTCTTTTCTAGTCTTCATTTGGTCTTTCTTAAATGCGAGTTTGGTCTCTCCAGTATTCAGTAACCCTTCATATTGTACTAGTTGCTTCATTGTCCTTCAGATATTCTTCCAATGGCCTTTATTCTTCTTCAACCATCTCATGTACTTCCAAAATTCTACACCCACCTATTTTCCTTGGTAAGTAGAGTTTGTCAATGTCACTGTGAGGATGCAGGACATGCTTCATTGTCATTCTTTTTCTGGTCTTCCTATCCAGGGCTTTTATTGGACTGCTTGAGTCCAGTCCATTATTCCAGCTGTGTTCCTAATAACTGGAATTGCCCAGGTGTTAATTTGCACTGATGTTATTTCCTTCACTGAGTTTGAACTTTCAGATCTTCTTCACTCTCATGGTGTATTCACTTCTAACATTCTTCTTGATTTCAGTTTGCTTGATGTTGTCAGCTTGAAGAATGTCCAGGTATTTATAGTGATCTTCTTCATTCACTCTGGGTGTTATTTCCATAGGGCATCTTGATTCCTTCAGTGTTCACTATTTTTCCTCTGTTGATGGTAAGGGTGGCACCTTTGTTTAATCCAAATTCCACTGCAATATCTTGGCTGTATACATGGGCAGTGCTGAGTAGTGATTCTATTTGAGATGGTGTTTTTCCATATAGCTTCAGATGTAAAGGAAGTGGGAGAGCCTGGCAGATATTTTTGATGTTTGATAGCCATGAACCGTTAAGTGTTGAGAGTTACATTGAATCAATGTAATGGTGCTGATAGTGAGTATCCTTGAAAGATCCTTCTCTTGATATTATCCTCTCCCAGTCTATCGCATTGACCAGCAATTACATCTTCCACTGTGCCATTGATCTTTGCACAAAACTCCTGATGTGTGTACTGACTCCTGTTATTTCTAGGCACTTTTATTATCCAATCATATGGCAGGGAGTCAAATCAGCATTCAAGTTGATTTTCCTTCTTTTGCAATTTTATAAAATTGTCAATTAGGAGCTGATCTTTCGCTTCTCTGCTGTTTGGGCATTTTCTTTTCTGCTCAGGTTGAAAGAGTGTTTTCAACTAGATGCAGTTGGACTGCATCAGCTACAACCTCAGTTAGCAATCTGAAAGCTGTTGGTAAGCAAGTAATTGTCCTGTAGTTGCCTGGGGCTGCCTCTTTTGTTAAATCTTTCATTATACCAGGCAGGTTCCGCCAGATGTTAATCAAACTTCAAATTCACCTTCATATAGTTTGATGCTAATTCCTTGGCAATGTGTGTATATAGATCAGCCAGATGTTTCAACCAAAAACCATGCAGTTTATCTTCACCTGATGCTGACCAATTGTTGACTTTCCCTACCCTTTTCTTTACTATTTCTGCTGTTATTACAAATTCTTACATTTCAGCTTCTTTATTTGTAGCTACCTCCTTTATCCAAGCTGCTGTTTGTTGTATTTTTTGGGGTTGTCCCATAGAGATGCTCAGAATTGCACCGTTTCTTCTTTGTCAGGTGTTGATTGGTTCATTATGGGTTCTTAATGGAGGATTGCTAGAAACATTTCTGATTCAACTGAAATTGGAAATTCTGCCTATAGTGTGCAATTCAGGCTTTATATCTGCTGAACTTCTTGGCTACAGTTGTTATTTGCTCTTTATATTTTATTTATTTATTTATTTATTTATTTATTTATTTATTTATTTTATTTATTTTATTTATTTATTTATTTATTTATTTATTTATTTATTTATTTATTTATTTATTTATTTATTTATTTATTTTATATCCCGCCCTTCTCCTTACGGACTCAGGGCGGCTAACAACCAGATAAAACACTAATCCCCAAAAACTACAAATTTAAAAACATAAGTAAAAACAAATATTAGTAATTTGGTCAAGTTAATTTAAAAATTGCTTTAAAACCCCATTAAAATTTTCCCCTAGGCCAGTCCTGCAAGTTGGAATAGCCATGTCTTAA